CGACCCCGCGTCTCTTCAATATTTCATGTTCGTACCCGCGCACGCTTGAATTATCTCACCATAAATGTGACTGTCTCGACTTAAGGGAGTTCAGTCCATTCGCCGGTTCCATGCGGCGGTGGCCGTTCCGCAAACGCCACTTGAAAACCAGAAAGCCCGACGCGCGTACACTCGTACGAGATGAGGCTTACGGTGTGTTTGCACCTCATTTCTCTCGGTATGCATTTATTGATGTCAGAATCTGCGAAACCGGACGTGTACATACCACTGTTGAAACACCTTCGGAGATATTATTCCGCTTCCGCTGTTGTCCTCGTACAGCCGTGCCCCGATGGTGAAGTTTTCAATGGTAGGATACGGTAATTATTACTAACAGACAGCGGGTCTTTATGCAAATACAAATGTTCAAGAATACAATGAAAAAGATAGGATTACAACGGAGAACAATCTTTCCTAACGAATGTTAGAAAAACCATTAGACTTTAAATATCTTCTATACCCTTTAGTATCGCGCGTATCCTGTTTAATTTGTCGCTTTGAAATTCCCCGTAAATACGTGAAGATCCGCAGTCCCATTATTATCTATTACGACCGATAACTATCCTATTCCTCTCTCGTTTCCCTTCTATTCGCTGCTCTCGTTGCCGTAATGTCGAGCACTTCTTCCCTTATAATCGTGCTTTCTCGTTACGCGTATAGAGTTCAAGATGGAGTACATGGTGCAGACGTGGGTTCGCAATCTCGGACGAGAGAACATCGCCACCCTGACCGTCCCTTTCGCAGAAATGCATTCCCTGTCGAAATACTACAACAGCATCGTCCGACCGATAATCGTGGTCATGATAAACGGAATGGGGACGTTCAACGAGTTGTCGAACATAACGAGAACCTTCAATATGCACGCCTCCGCTTGGCTCATACTGTTCGCGCCACTTCTTCGACGTCCTCTGCTGGACTATTGCTACGCACCACCGGGTAATCCGTTTCACCTGTCGTTCAACACCGAAATGGCGGTGCTCTGCCCTACAGAAGATGTTTTGCACGAATGGTACTCCGTGGATGGCCGGAGCACAGAGATTTCCAAGCTGGGTAAATGGCGTAAAGATTCTCCCCAGAATTTGGAATTATTCACGAACTTGAGCTTGTACGAGAGGAGGGCTAATATGAAGGGCACGGTTTTGCGTGCAGTCACCGTTGAAGTAAGAGTTGTTCTATGATACGAGCAGAATTGAAAATAGTTCTCGCGATGGAACCAAAGGGAGAATCGATTTCGTTGGGGTTCATTCAACGAAGGACCATTCGGGATTCATTTCATACAACAATTTTTAAGCGAATAAACCTATTATTAAACTTCTCTATTCAGGTAAAAGTGTTTCGGAGTTGGGTCGGTAGATGCTGCAGCGTATCTATCGTGCCTTCATCGAAAGAGTACTTTTATGTCTTTTCGAATCGATGCTCTCTTTAATCCACCGTTCAAATATAACACAATGTTCAATGCGAATATACGTACCCTTCGATCGACAGTCCTCGATACTACTCGAAATCAAGGATAACAAGTTGCACGGATTTCTGGGCACCATTATCAACGAATTGGAAGCAGCCCTGAACTTCACCGTCAAACTCGTGTCTGTAGAGCCGGAGTACGGGATTTTCAACACGACAACGAAACGCTGGGGCGGAGCGATCGGCGTAGTAATCTCAAAAATGGCGGACATCGGTATATCCGATTTTTCTATGGTCAACGACAGGCCCGATTACGTGGACTTCACGATTCCTATATTAGCCACTAGGCAAATGTTATTTTTAAAGCAACCGGAGATGTTCGCCGCGAAGTGGCTCGCTTATTACAAGGTAAATTCAGCCAGGTCTAAGAATGATCGGTCGTTGAATTTGTCGAGCGCCAACGTTATACGATTTTTGGGTATCGTGTGCCGCAGGCTTTCAGTTTTTCAGTGTGGACTTGTGTGCTTGTAACAGGAATAATCGGCAGCGTTGTTACGACGTTTATAGTATCCCGGTTAAAGTCGTGCGGCATGATGCAAGTGATGCGCGACGAGTGTTTGCGAGTTTGGGGGATTCTTTGCCTCCAAGGGTTGACAGGTGAGTCGATCCTTCATTGGTTTTGCATGTCAAATTTCGCTGCTCGCTCCGAACCGATTCACTCGCAGTCGTCTCTTTCCAGATTTCCCACGGATTTCGTCGTTGAAGCTAGCATACGTAAGCTTATTCTTATCGTCGTATGTGGCAAGTTCTGCTTATTCTGCGTCTCTGATATGTTTCCTAACGGCTCGCATCCGAGACGTGCCGTTCAGGACGGTCGACGAGTTTATCACGGACGGCACGTTCGATATAATAGCGATCAAAGGATCCGCGAACTATGACATGATCAGCGTAAGTTTGTCGAAAACAGATAGGAGACGTTAACCCGTTAAGATTAAAACCGTAACAGACGCCGAGCTGTTTCCTCGTCCGAAGAGAACGAACAAGAATTAACACCGATTTCACGTTAGCGAACATTCTGTCGCGTGAGAAACGTATGGAACACTCAGGACGGTAAACGGAGCAGAGAAATCGCTTGTGGAATGCAAAGGATCACGATTGTCACGCGACAGAAAACTTTGCCTGGAAATCGGCAGTGTGAAACCGGCGTTAAGTATTTCATAAGAACAGACCCCCCCGCGAATCGCTGTTAGATCGTACGCTATTCATTAGCGGACAATTGTTACACGATAATTATTGAATAACCGAATCTCTCGAAAGTTGTCGAACTGGAAGTGTTCATTCAAATGCTAAAAACTGATCGTTTTCTCGTATTTTCAGCGTTCGACCGATTCTCTCTCGATGTCTTTAATGAAATTAATGAAACAGTACGACGACTTGCCACTGGACACGAGTGAAGGATTTCAAAAAGTGAGTTCGATTTACGAAAATTACTAAAATCGTTTATTTCGGATAGAATCGTATAGAATTCTGTGTTACATTGTTTGAATTGTACGACAGGTATGCACCGGGAACAAGTTGGCGTTCTTCATGAGTTACAGCCCCGACATGAAGGAAGCAGTGCACAGCCTCGCGCCCTGTAACACATTCATGATCCCCGTCGGCCGTGTGGAGAGTTTAGCTATGATTCTGACGAAGAACAACCCGTTTACACCTTTCCTGAATTACCAGTTAGTATTTTGATGAAATACTATCCACGTTCAGCTAGACATTGCGGTCATCCCTCGATTTATGCGGCACGTCTTGCGTGCGAGGAGATAATGTTTCATTTATTTATAATTTACTTCTCGTAGAAGTAATTAGATTTACGCGATTTTCAACCGCGAAAAACGAAAGAAACCTGGAATGAATCTGCGAGAATCTTGGGAAGCGTTGTATCTTCTCCATAGATTTCGAATTTCATTAGTCGATCGATTGCTAATGAACAAATCAATTGCGTTGATCGTACGAGTAGAAAATACCGGAGAGGATAAAGTATAAAACAATAGAAAATGAAATATTTCCAATCGACGGCGCGTACGACGTGCGTGTAAGCGAAGACTGCCCATTGTCAGTTATTTCCATGACCGGCAACGATAGCGTTAGAGCTTTAAAAGGCAAGCGGAAGAGGCGCGCAGTTATGGAGAGTGTAAGCACTGTACCCGTACACTCGGCACGAAATTAAATATTTATCATTCCGTTACAGTCTGCAGAAGTTGTTGTCCTCCGGCGTGCTGAACCGCGAAAAGAACGAGAAAAAGTTCCACGAGGAAACTGAGTTTCTGCCGGTTACATTCGGCGGCATAATATCTGTGTTCTCTGTGTTCATCCTGGGCGCCGTGGCCGCGCTGTTAACGCTGTTCGCGGAAATATGCTGCGATAAGTATATACTCAAGCACGATTGAATCCACTTGACGCATTCGAGACGAGTTACGCTCGCGGAAAACTCGCATCGCTATCGAGCTAAGTCCTCGAAACAAGTTTTCATAAAGCAACAAATATTTCTTCTTTTCAGTGTAAACGAAAAGAAGAGTTTAGACTCCTGGCGACCGTCTTTTAAAAACACCCTGGTCTCGAATGGGTTGAGAGTCACTCTAAGATCATCGTTGTCAGTATTTCACGGGCATTCGTGTATATCTAGTCTACTAGAATCTTTAAGAAAGATAATGGATAATAAAGTGTCGTTCTTTTCTACTCTGTTTTTAAACACTCCGTCGTAAAACTGGAAATGCGCATAAAAATCTTCACAAGCGAAAAGTCGTTCGGAAAAAGATAGTAATAATTTAGAGTCGAGGCAAGTTTGGACGAAGTTTGAACCTTTTACGAGCGTCTGTTTCGAGGAATATTAGTTTCCGAATGAATTGCAATCTTTCGATAAAACGATGAACCATTCGCGAGGAACAGAAGCATATCCGTCTTGAAATGTCCTTTGAGATTCTATATACCCGCGTCCCGGTCCGCGACGCCATTTTGCCGCAGCGCGTGCACCCCCTCCGCTACAGTAATCGAAGGGATCCGCGATTTATTTTCCGATATAAATACGGAATGCATACACGTTTCTATCGGTGCTGATCTCCGTACAATTTGTACGCGACGCATCGGTTGGTTATGTTAGCGGTGGTTAATGTGGAACGCTGTGTTCCGCTGGTAATGAGCTGCCGGCCCTAGATCCACAGATTCGATAAATCCGGACGCCTCGCGAGCACGGTTCGCCTGGTTTTCAGTTTAGCCGGTTACCGTCAGAAGCGGCCGGGAATCGCGGGACGGGAAAAAGAACGTCGACTCGCTCGCTCCACCGAAATGCTTCGCGGAACGATCCAATTTAACGCGGTCAATTTCGGCGTATATTAACGAGAAAATAAGGCGTAACGATCCTGCGTGATATCGCCTCGGCGGGGACGAAATGGTCCCGGTTAATTCGAAGGTGTTTAACGGTAATCGTCGCTTCATCGTTGAAATGGCACGCTTCACTTGTTACGTTATCGGTATTCTAATGGTCCTCTCTGTAGCCGGCCTCGCCGTGGATATAAATGACAGTTATAATTATATGCTACTGATCACGGATATACATAATCATTATGGAACAACCTGCATCGTTATCGTGCATTCCGACGGAGGCACCGGTAAGTTAATTCCCCCTGAAATTCATTTGAACCTTATCGAAAGTGTTAAATTGCTCCATAGAGAATATTTTCCTGCCTCCGTACGAGTTGTTTCGTTACACATTCTTCCTTCCTTATTCCTCATTCACTGTCTTCCGTTTTTCTAATCCTTTGTAACCTCCTCTTCTTCCATTCCTCTCCCTTCCTCTCACCGCCAAATATATCCCTTTACCTTCTCTGCCAACCCTGCGGAGCCGTAAATATAGAATGACGTGGGACCCCGTTAGCGGCAGCCGGCCGCAGAATTCCAAATGAACTAGAATCGCGTCACCGGGTGGCAAACTGTCAAACGGTCGTCGTCCGTGAACGTTTTAGATATCAACACGACGACGCTGACGCACATATGGACCCGATCGTTCTCCCACAGCAGCATCCTGACCATGATCGTCAGCTTTTCCGACCTTCCGCGCGAGACCAAGAAGTACCAAGGCCACGTCGTGCGTCCGCTGTACGTCGTCCTTCTCACCACAAAGGAGACCATGAACGAGTTTGCGATGGCCACCGGACAGATCGATATCTCTTTCCCCATCTGGTTCGTGATGTTCCTGCCGCACCAGGGAGATCCGCTGCGGGACTTCTGTCGATCCCCGATCGGGAATCCATTCCATCTGATGTTCAACACCGAGATGCTGGCGATCTGCTACGATCAACCGATCCTCTCGGAATGGTACGCGTTGCAGAGGAATCGTACCATTGTCTCGAGTCTGGCCGAGTGGAAACCCGGTCAAAAGTTCAGGCCAACAATGAACAACAGCCTCCATGCGAGGAGGAACAACTTGTACGGGGAATACCTGCGCATTGCCTACGTTGAGGTAGGTTTTAGAATTCTATCGCGATTTCTCTCAAAGTTATTTTCCTTCGCTCAGTTCCTCGATCCGACTAATTCCATGTTTCGCGTATACTAGAATGAACTGCGCTTTTGCTCGCGGAGTCGCTCGCGATTAAGCTACGTCTGTAATAAAGGAAAATGCAATCGATTCTCCATTTAGAGGGAACTTTTATAAATCAACGTACGCCGTTGCATCAGTTCCCTCTACTTGCTTCTTCGCGAAGCAGCTACAACTATGTTAATATGTTCACCGGTTTGACCAACCAGTAGCCGAAGCGCGGGAACAAGGGAAATAAGGCTGCAACAAAAGCTTCGTCTACGCGACGCGTCTGTAATCCACGCGCGCGATCGAATCTACCAATCGCCGGCGTTCGAGCGCATTCCTGCTCGATAATTATCATAGTCGTCGCGTGGACGGAAAACGGATCAGCGACAGGATGATTTACGACGGCGATAAAGTACGGCGACGCGACGACGCAATTTCGATTGTCCGCGCGTTCCTTTTCTCTCTTTCCTGCATGATTTATGAGAACGCCGATAGGGGTTCCCCATTTTTTTACGATCGAATCTAACTTTAAGCAGTCTGCGTTCGTCGCGGTGAAAGACGGGGTGTTCACGGAGTTCCTCGGCGCGGTGGTCCAGGAGTTGAGCAGGTCGATCAACTTTACGATCAAAGTGACGAGCAGCGAGGTCTTGTACGGCAACTGGAACGAGGAGAGGCAGGCCTGGACGGGGGTGATCGGCGAGGTCGTCTCGGGGATGGTCGACATTGGCGTCGCGGAATTCAGCATGACCAGCCACCGGATGGACGTGGTGGACTTCACGTTGCCGTTGATACTGTCCCGCATGAGGGTGTACTTCAGGAAGCCCGACAACTCGTCCGTGAGGTGGTCCGCGTACTTCAAGGTTCTCTTTGTTGTTTCTCTGATTACCCTATGACCTCGCATTTTCATCGCGAACAGTAAAATCGCGAGTGGGTACTTTACTTTCTGTAAGTTGGTTAGAAAAGTAATCATTTCAATGAAGTTTGTGAAGATAGGGGAGAAGAGAAGTAAGATAAAATGATTGAAAAACACGTTGTCGAGGGAAATATGAAAAATCGATGAACGCATGCCGATGAACGCATCAATGACGTTTCTCCGACGATAGTGAGCATCGACCTTTCTGTGCTCAGGCATTCGACCTCTACATTTGGATGGGAGTGGTATGTATAATCCTGTCGGCCCCGATAATTCTGACTCTAATGAAGACGAAGGGCCGTTTCGTCATGACGACCATCGGGGAGAACTACATAAACGTGTGGGGGATCTTTTGCCAGCAAGGCCTGTCAGGTAAACGCAACGTAACGAGAATACGGAAGGAAATAATAAAGGCTCAATATCAAGCGAATATTGCCCTATAAGCAGTGCAAAGGTTTAATTGAAACGATTTGCAAATTAGTGTGAACGGCTTCCAGAATTTCCGCACGAGTCCTCGCTGAGATTCGCCTTCATGTCGATATTCGTGGCCTCGTTGGTGATCATGTCCGCTTACTCGGCCTCGTTGATCAGCTTTTTAACCGTCTCCACGTCCAGCTTACCGTTCTCCACTCTAGAGGAATTCGCGCAGCACGGCTCCTACAAGCTGATCGTTTTCAGGAACAGCGCGGACTACGACATGCTTATCGTAAGCTCGACGCGTCGTATACACTGATCCGCTTCGGAAAGCAATCGCTGAAAGGTATTGATTTCAGTCGTCCAACGACACCGTGTCGTCCAAGTTGACGAGGCTTCTGAAGGAGAAGGAAGACTTACCTTTGACGGTGACCGAAGGCTTCGAGCAGGTGACGTCTTTATGAATATCCATCGAGAATCCTCGAGCAACGAATCCGTCCTCGTTCCGTCGTAGGTCTGCTCGAAAAAGGTGGGTTTCTACATCACCGAGGCGATCGTGAACTCGATGGGCCGCTTGCCGTGCGAGATCGCGTACATCGACGCCAACAGGATCGAGAGTTTGGCGATCGTTCTCAACAAGCGCAGCCCTTACACAGGAATCGTGAATTACGAGTGAATATCATACCTTTTCAATCATAATTTTATTCGTTCAACCCTTTGCACTCCGATGTGCTACGGCGACACGTATTGTTATATTTCTTGTATCGTTCTTGTATCAATAAAACGTAACATTAAAACGTACACGCGACCACAGTAGAAACGACTCGGAGTTGCTGAGAGGTCGTATCAGAAATTGCTCGGAGTGCAAAGGGTTAATTAGATTCTCGGAAATGTTACGTTTAACAAAACCCCTGCCAGCGTTCCTCGAGTACACCGAGTTTCCAGCTGTCTCGGGTACATTCCTTCCAGGTTGCAACGGTTCAAAGACAACGGGGTGTTGAACAGGCTGAGAAACACGTTCCTCGTGACGCCCGTGTCCCACGAGAAGGGGTACCCCGTGGTTACTTTGGGCAGCGTCGCGTCGATCCTGGCTATCCTGGCGGGTGGCATGGTCCTGGCGTGCGCTATGTTGATCATCGAGAAGATGTACTTCAACCTGTGGGCCAGCAAGACCGGCGAAAGTTCTCGCTCCCCGAAACTCTGCCGGAAGCCGAGCGGAGAGCTGAAAACGAGCGTGAAATTCCGTGAGAAACGTACCGTTGGTAGATCGCCCGATGGCTAGACCGAGGAATGCGGGTTTGATCGGTCAGCTTTCATCTTTTCTCATTCCATTTTCGACGCTAATTTCGCATCGGTCGATGCTACGAACGAAACACTCGCCGAAAGAGCCCTCTAGCTTCTCTGTGTAGCTCACATTAGACATTGAGTCATCTCCGAATAGTATACACCGAATTAGCAGGAATCGGCTGTCGTAATAATCGCTGATAAATTGCGCGAACGTTCCATACGGTTTTATCTCGTATCGCGTAACGAACGAGCCTCGATGATTATTTCATGAAGCCGCGCGCGGAGTCGATACCGGCGCGCAACGGAACGAGGAAGGCGCGTTTTACAACGCGTATTGTGCGATTAACAAGCCGGCTTGTTAACACTCGAACACTCGGCCACGCGTTGGCGTGCTTTCATTCTGTAAATTCAAAGAAAGCGAAGCTTCCTTAACTCGCGACCCACCGAATAACATATTATCCACGTAATAACCACCATGTTCTGCAATTCATTTTAAACCGGTCTGTTTTCAGCTTATCAAAGCAGAGCTAACGTTCGCTAAATGATTCCATTAAACGGCCGGCATTTGACGCATTTCGTACCCCGCTGGGTATTTCAATGTTAATTCTTTCCGTCGGTGCCTATTCCGCTCGTGGAATCGCTTTCACTGCGGCTCGCGCGGAGTAACCGCGAGTAATTAGTTGCAAATTTCCGCGTATCGTTCCCGCCGCGAGCATTCCGCGGTGAGACTCGATGGACCTTTCGAGTTTCTATTTTTTATGCGGGCCTCCGCTCCAATTAGCGGATATTTATCCGGGTTGCACCGTTTGCCATAGGCCAAGTCGAATTCGGTTCGTATTTACGATTGTCCGGGATGTTTGTGAATTACCGATCGCCTCGAGCGTGGGCGGAGACGGCTTTGTTGTTGGAACGGCTATTGTTTTCTCTGCGAGCGGCGTGTTCTGCATCAAACGGGCAACGGAACGTACCGATCTCGCGTTTCGAAAGTTGCAAATTGAAAATATCAAACGGCACGCTGCGCGTTGCGCCGGTCTTCGTTAAGATCTAACCGTTTGTCGTTTAACACGGCGTATTAGCGAATCTCGTTAAGTGGTTTGATTAATGACATTCTGCAGGGTAAATACAACGGTTTGCGTAATAACTGCAATTATCGGCCGATCGCGTTTAGCCGAAGACACGTCGATTCGTACGGAACGCCTGACCCACGACCTTTTCGGGAGAAATTCACCCACGTGACTATCTTCCCACGTGAATCAAGCAGCATCCACTGTCTGCCCGGCGAAAACACGGGGCCCTCGTTAATTTTCCATACGTTACTCATTATTCAATTTTCAGAAACATCATCGGGTCGCATCATACGACCCTATGTATTTTATTCAAATTATTCGTTCGTCGTTTCAACCGCGATGAACCTATTGATTAATACGTGAAATTCATTCGTGTACGCTGCAATTAAAGTAGTTTGTTCCTAGACATTTGTATCTTAAAGTTATTCATTGAAACATCTGAATCTCTCTGAATTTTCATCGTGATTTTAACTCTGGGGAGACTGAACCGAGAAGACTGCGAAAATAGGAACCCTGTTTCATCCAAATTATTTCCCAGGCTCCTTCTGCGGTTTTTCGAGCCGACGGTTCGGTCTCTGACTCACTCTCGTGTGCTAACGCGTTGCTAAAATAAATGTTCCCGAGTTTCCTTTTTCGCCGAATACAATCAACCCGCGGGACAACGGTGCAGCGTCGCTCGGGGCAGATGTCCTTCCCCCGTTTTTTCGATTTTCGATCCGGCCGACTCGGAATCGACCCACGATTCCTGCGTTTCCAGGGGCAGCGTAGGTTCACGTGTAAACAAAGGTGCATCCTGCGGCGCGGCGTAGATCGGCAGCGAGCCAGCGAGCATAAGTAACTGCGCACGGGCCGGATACGGACGAGCACGCGCTGCGTTTCCGGTTTCCGTATGACCGGAAGTGACCTTTGCCTCATTAAGGAAAAGTTACACGCGCGCGTTACGATCCCCCTGCAGGTAAACCCAGCCGCGATGCCTCGAAGGGGACTCGGGTCTTGATTGTTTAAAGCTAGGTGTCCGTTCGAGAGGAAAATTATCGAGACTCGATCTCGGAAGCTTCTCTCGCGAGCGTACACTTTATTTTCTATAAGTTGATTGAAAAGATGACAGTGTTAATCGAGTTTACGAAGACACGAGGAGAGCAAAGGAGTCAAGAAACGCGTCGTCCACGTAAGCGCGTAGTAACCTTTTCAAGGTGAAGCCTTTTGAAGACGCTCCGACCGGTAAATAATGATTCGTCATCGATGATTCTTTATTTTCTATAGCTCGAGTATGAGGCAAAGAAAAGTAAAAGTCAAGAGACAACACGTTCTCGAACGAAATGGACGAGCTGAACCTGTTGGTTGATATTAAAGCAGCTCGAAAGTTGACGGTTTCTTGTGCATCGTTCCGAGGGTAATCAGGGCCCGATAACATTTCACGGAAACCGCAAAAAGAATCGGGGAACGCGATCGTGACGCTTCTTTCCGTGCAAACGGGGCGCGATTAGCCGCGAGACGTTAATCTCTCGAACGATCCTTCCGATCCTGTCCCGTGGACCAGGTAATCATCGATCCAGCTCGTTTTTTCTTTGCTCCTTCGTTCCCCGTTTCGTCGTCGGCGAAAAAGAACCGGATAGCCTTGGCTGAGTGCATTCTCCGTCGGGAGTGGATCGTCATCGATATGACGACGCTCGACGGGAGATATTAATTGGAAACGACAGAGGACCCGAGGCAACAGCTTTCGACGTGAACGCTCGGTGCGCGCCGCGCCGCGCCGCGCCGTTCGTCTTGATCCGCGGTAACGAGACCGGACGACCTCGGCTTTAACAATTCGAACGAGTCCTCTTGTCTACGCGAATTTCATCTTTTCGAAAGTATCCAGTTCTATCACGTACGAAAATACTCTAGGAATTACTCGAGATTGTTTCGTAATCGTCCGCGACAGCAGACGAAGTGTGTCGCGGAACAAATTCCTCGGATTCCTACAATTTTTGTAATTCCGCTGGTTACGTGAAACCGTGGATGCATTCTTGAGACCATGGACGATCGAAAAATCGTAAACAAATTATGTTAATCTTCCGGAGCAGATGAATCTCGTTGTTCGATGATTACATTCTAATCCTGGGAATAGCAGATAGATCAAACTAATCCGTTCCCGAGTTCCGGCAATTACTGGCAAGATACCAAACGCTTTCCTAACGAACCACCCAGGCGACTGGTTTAGTAATACGCCAACCGAGTCGCGAGTCAATCGAAATCTTAATAGGCACACGGTTCGAGTTTCTATAGAGGAATTCGAAAAAGGCAATTTCACTGGTCGGTAGTTCCAGCGTTAAAACAGTCCGTTGTTTAGCTGCGTTGCACGTGGCAGTCATTGTTGGCAGGTTGTGTCATCCCTGGGGTGGTCCAGAATGCCATTATTATCGCGCTTCGCGCCGTCTAGGCTAGGACTGTCCCCGTCGCCTTCGTACCGCCACCGGTAACAATGATCGGTTCGAACGATTGCGAACCAGGAAACAATAATGCGCGGCGATAATCACCATTGTCACGGAGGGAACAATGATGTTCGCGGTGACGAGGCACGCTTCGCGGCGAGATCGACCGAGAAACGAGAGTCTGTGCAAATGGGAGCCCGGTTACATGTAACAAGAACAGGCGCGTAATCGCCCCGGGTGAAAGAGAACCAACCCTTTGCTCTACGATTTCGTCCGGAACTGCGCTCGCTGGAACCGTTTGATCGTTAACGGCTTCCATTAAAAGCAGAGAAGAATTCTATATTCGTCCTGTGCCTGCATTCGCTTCGAAGATCAAAAATTAAGCCTACTCATTCTCCGAATCAAATTCCGCAGCACAAAGAATAGGAAAATCTGACGCAGCAGTATAGAAGACAATCGAATACACATTGTAGAATATATTTTACCTCATTGTTATACAAATAGGTTTAATCTAACGACGATGTAAAGCGTATAAAATACTACAACCTTGGAGTATAATCTTTATTACTTATTCCGACTTTCACGAGGCCTAACGAGCGGCTGAATCGATGGCAGGACGATAATATTGAATTTTCACCGGAACGAGTATGACAGTTACATTCGCTAACTCGTGTTCGAATCTTCGATCGCGAGTCCGACGCGATATTATTAAGACAAGGGGTTAAGATTTATCCTTTCGTGTAGTTCCTTACCGCACGAAAGGCGCGTCGAGCGTTCCCAACACGCGATTCCGTGCCGCGCATAAATCTCGCCGCGTTTCAGCCGGGGAAAACGCAGGCGCAGAGGCGATGTACCATTACGCGGTAAACGCGACAGCGCCGGGAACGAATTCATTGAGAAATCGTCGGCGGGGAAACGTTGCGTTGATCCGCTTGTCTCGTAAATCCGCCGTTGCGACTACCTGAGAGGCTCATTACTATGTTCGGGGCCGTGGGTGGGTATTAGCGGTTTACATTGGCAAACTGGCGCTTGTGAAACGCTCGGCTCGCCGATAACATTCAACGGAAGACGTCACCGCGGTTGCGGGTAAGTGGATGGAAATCGCGAAGCCGAACAACGACCAATGTAGATCGGCGATCGCGTGAGACTCCCTCGAACCGATCTCCTAAAGTTCATAATCGCTCCACTCGACGCTCGTCCGCTCTCCGATACTCCGCGCTTTCGGCGTGCATACGCTCGACCGTTTAATTACCGCTCCTGGAAAGACTCGAGTGACGATTAACTAATCACCGTCGAGTTCCGAGTATAATGCGCGTGGTATGTATTGTTTTAGCTCTAGCTTCACTCGCTGAAACGACCTAGAACTCGATACCAGAATCGCATATCGCTTTTAACGCATTTAGAAGCAATTATAGGTGGAAGCACGAAGCGTAAGGAAGTTTCTTACATCGGTATCGGCGCACGAAGGTCGACGAAATATTGCCACAATTACCGTCTGTATCGCGCGATAACAGGTGCGCGGTCGAAGGATATTTAACGCGTTAACTGTCGAATAAAACAATGTTCAACAGATACTAAAAAGTTCAAGTCCTCCGTGACTGCTCCAGTGTTCTTTCTATCTAGAATGACACGGCGGTTCAAGCGAACCATCAGTCGTCCGGAACCGATCGTCCCGAGACGGAAGACAGAAACAAGTGGCCGTCGCGCAAACATCGCGTTCCTTTCGTGCGTTCCGATAAGAGATCGATCGGTCCGATCGAAGAAGCTCGGGGGCCCCGTGGATCCCGAAGGACGACGGCAAGGAGGTTTGACAGTTGGCGGGCATCCGTTGCCTCTCCATTCCTCTTCAATGCCAGGCCGAGTCTGCCCACGTATACCGGGTGTCGCATGGGTGTACTCGAGCTCGTGTGCTCCACGCGTTTCACCGTAGTGGGGATCCTCCGGTGCTCGACTGGCTAGGCACGGAAAGGAAAGGAAAAGAGTGGCGTACCTACAGCTGGCCCGTAAACGCGATTATGTTTCGTCGCTGGCGAACTCATTCAGTGCTCCTTACGGCACGAGGGAACTTGGTGCGGCCGCTGCTGGCGTCCCGACGTCGGCCGACGCGCATCCTCCAGTGATCGCCACCGAGAACGCCAACCGCGTGCCC